TTAACAAAGAATTTCCGCCTGCAGGTGTGATCAGTTAGACAGAAGACCTGATTTCAGCTTATGATAATAAGATTGAACAACTCAAATTCATTGTTGTGATTAGCTTTAATCAATACATTAATATGAAACCACATCCTAAAAAATTTCTGTCAAACAAGCACAAACGATAACCACTCGGTATTTTGAGACATTAAAGTATTACTGATCAACCTTGATCAGGCCGCTAGTGTAATTAGTGTGCACCCACTACATTGTTCTGGAAATATCTGGAATCTGGTGAACGGATGATCTCCGCAGATGTCACCTTACTTTCGAAACTAATGTAACGAAACGGTTTCTTAATCCCTCCTAGGAAGAACAACTGAATTTACTCTCAGTTTCACCTTACAACGAGGTGATCTTATGTTAGCATATCATATATTAAATAACGACTTACGAGCTAGTTTGTCCTATCTACTATCCCTCTAGACCTGCTCGTTTCAGGCAATATCATCGAAAAGCATAAAACTCACGGTCGAATCGTCTACACCTGAATATTCGATTTTTGCACTCAGTTGTACACCATTAGAACTCTCTGTTGGAGCACGTAATATATGCAACCTCTGTTGATACTTTCCAAGCGAGATTCAATCCCCACCCCCATTACTCACTCCAGAGATTATTATATTTAACTAGCCTGCTATCCATGTATCTGAAGCTAATAAGTTGTCTCTCAGGGTTAACTCTGAGTGACTAATTTTCGACATGGTCGCCAAAACAAGTCTCCCACACTATCAACAAATTCGCATGAAGTAGCCAATAACGACCTGATCAACTTGAAATATAGATATGGGACAAGATAAAGCATGCACAGTAATTTGTTTCAACTGGACACACTTGTTACAACAAAATATATGCTGACAACTTTTATGGGGATTAGAATGAAATATTGGGGGAAATAACCAGTAGAACTAGATAGATACAATCTAACCAAAATGTAGTCAGGTTGCCCACCTGACAACAGTACATCATAATGAAAGGTGTTGGTTGCCTTGTTAACGACCTCCAACGGAAGATTTCTCCCCAATAAACTGTAATACCACGCTGACAGCATTAACAGCCAAAGATTGTCTGACTACTTTGAATAATTATCGAGTGCTAACCTGCCTAACGTTCTTGGAGGCACAAAATTGAACTCCTGACGACCGTCAGCTCGGGAAAAATTATTTTCAAAACACCATAGCAATATTAACGAATCAGCCAATCAGTTAAAATCAACATGAGGTCTGGCATTATTGTGTAATGGTCCGAGTTCTCATACCTAGCATCAGCACATCCATGTAGAAGGCACCAAAAGGAAAGACAGAGAAGTCAGAATGACATTAGTCAAAAGTCGTAATAAGTCATAAAAAGAGAGAAAGACAATGGTGAGACCCGCCATGACAACTAGGATGAAGATAATTTGTGGATGCATCTGTACCACTGAGGTCGATTCTAAGCTATATCATTCGATCTTCAGCAACTAGTTTCGGTTGTTACATCTACTCCAACCGAGAAGTCTGAAAGTCCCTATACGGTTCAGATCAATAGTCCGAGACTTAGTGAAGTTATATCATATTTTGACCTGTCCATCTCCAACTTTCTGCTAATCTATACCTACTTCAGCTAACAATATGCGACCAAGTAGACGATCATTAGGCATACCTAACACATGTTCCAGCAGACAGTTCATGATGATTTGTAACCACGTCAACTGACTGACCTCTCTTGCCAAAAACTTCACGCCTGGTCTATTACACCACTAAGACACATGGTTAATGCAATGGGAGCTACGGTAGTTGAACACCTGAAGCCTTCGCATGCTCTCCACTTTTAATGGCTGTTCATAGACTTTGTCGATCAGTGACCCATCAGGGCTACATTTCACAACCATATATTAGAGAACAGAGCAAACTGTCGTGCAGCACACTCAAACCTCGATAGGCAATCAAACAGCTCACCAGCATAAAAGATGGTGTAAAACGGCAGAAACCAATAGAGGTATTTCTATACGTCCCAAGATCTTATCCGTCAGTGACCCACCACGGTTCATCCATCTTCTCAAGTGGGTGAAGTGGTCAAAGCCCAAAACCACTTTACTCTTGAAGGTCAGGCAAAGCATACATACAGATAAGTCATTTGCATTTAGACAGCAGGAACACATCTTAAACTCCTAGAGTTGTCATCCAAGGCATCCACAAGATTCGAAATACTGTCAGCTTCTTCATCTAACAGAACTATGCCGTCCACATACTCCAGATCTCTTACGGAGCTTTCTGAAACCAGATTAGTCGCCGCACAATTCGGAAGAGGGGAACTCCTATAAGCACATCTATGACAAAGGTGAGTGGAAATGGAGTAGACATCTTTGACAGAAAAAATCACCCGATATCTCAACATAGGCACGAAAACGCTCATGGGTATTTGAATATAGAGCCTTCAACACAGTGGTATACCTGTCCATAAGCCCACTCAGGATACTGTCATAAAAGTTCTCATTGATCGAGTCGAATTTCACCTTTAGATCAAGAAACACAACTAGTATTAAGCACGCGCAAAGTCTGTCTATAGTGTAAGACCTGGAGCAGAACGGACATATGCTCGACAAATCGGTGGTGAAACCCGACTCTTTTTCTCAGATTTTCTGCTCCAAAGTTTTACTCAGGCACCTCACCATTATACAAACTGCGATGTTAACAGCCTTCATAGACTAGAACGTATTCTCGGCATCCTAGGCGAAATTTACTGGTATACAGACACAAGTAGCGATTGACGCAAGTCACATTGGACCACACATCATAAGTATGTCCCGCCTAAACGTTCACATAATCCAGCAACCAATCCTCAGTGAGTTTCATCGGGTACTTCTACTACGGGTCCATTGACGCATGTTTCCCTTCATCGTTCCAGGTTTCTTGGAGCCTTCGCGACCTCTAGGAGAGTTACACGGCCTGTTTCAGTGTTCTATTTGGTGAGCAACTGAAAAGGCTACCCAAAGGTCAGTTGGACTGCCCTGCAAAGCGTTCTGTCCATCGTCCCCCTCGCCAAGGAATCACAGACCCATCCTTATCCCTTATCGTTTTACCAACAATCAACGTTTTATTTTCAGCTACCTCAATTAGTCGAAATGACTGTCTACTGATACCCGTCACCGTTTCCTTTTGCATCTCATTAGCATGTTACACAGCACAACCAACAGTTCGTGGGTAGTCACTCTCAGCATACATTTGAACAGCTTTCACTCCTTAGTGGCTTAAAAGCAGTATGACAGATACCAGGTGCATCCACTTATTGAGAGGAAGGTGATAACACTGGTTGCTTTCAATTTATCGTTATAATTATGGTCTACAGCGTTGTTTTTTAAGAGAAGCCTTAATATCCTCAAGATCAAGCTGCACTCGGACTAGTGTCAGCTTTTCTTGTCAATTCAAGCGTAGAGAGGACATAAGCATTATCAGTATAGAGACATGTACTTCGACATGAATAGGAATCGTTTGTCGACACAACGGCGATAGGTGATGACATTTTGATGACCATAAACGACTGATTTGACGTTGGTGGATGCTATTTTAGACAATGTTTTTTTAATGGGCAAAAAAAGATAGTGGTATTGGTTCGCTTGCAGCAAATAGTCGCTATTTTCGCTTTTCTAAGTCGAGATAACGAAAGTATCCCCTACTGCCTTTCTGCTTGGTCTAGCTGTGCCACTTTTTTGTTAAAATCGTCTGCACGCCAAACATATCTGAATGCTTGTTCAGGGGTAAGGGGCTAGACAGTACCCAGTAAAATCCATTACCTAGCCTATCAGAACTGCAGTAAATGGGTGAGTAAGCGATTACTTCACAAAAAAGTATCGCTACCCATCTTGGTTCTTGCAGTACCATTCAGTCGCGGTGCACAGGCGACTGCCAGCTGCGATCCAGTCAAGCAGTGAACTTTCCGCTTCAGCCCCTTTCAGGTCTACCCACAATTGCGGGACCATGAAAACTAGTCGTTTGGATCTTGAGAAATTCAAGGAGTGAACCTCAAAGATTTTCCACGTTGGCTGGAAGAGGCTAGGCGAATAAATAAACCTGGATCATGACTGCGTGTCTGACAGACGCATCACACATTCACGGCCCGAAAAGTCAGTTTGAATTGGCGAAGCTTTCCGAACATTGACAGCTCGACGATATAGTTGGGAGCACGGCATCAGACGTGGTGCTCCTTGGATTTGAGCAGCAGAGCTGGGAGTAATTCAAGACGACGCAGGATTCTTAACGGTGAGATTTCAAGGGAAACCAGACACGGAGATATTGACGTTCGGCAATAATCAGTGCTGATAGATTGGTGAGGCGGATGACGCCTGGTTTTCTACTACGCAAAACCTTACCTCTCACGTACCTGAAGTTTTTCGTGACCCCAGAGCACCAGTGACATTTGCTTGGGGTCAACCACACAGCCATTTCAAAAACTTTGAATCGGGATTTGATTGTGCCTACTTTGAACGAGAGAGAACCGTACGGTAGACAGCGAAAGACAATAGGAAGGACGTGTTACTACCGTAACTAACATTGTTCATGAGGTAAAGTATTATCAGCAAGGAGGCATGGATCGTTAATGGTGTCACACAAACATAAGCTAAGTTTAACTAAGTTGTCAAATGTTTTTGGAGTTGGGAATACAAATGAGCAATTAAACATAAAAAACAGCTTTGTCCTTAGCTCAAGAACCTCTCGGACCCTAGCTGGAATTAAAAACATATCAGATGATGCTGAGTCCAAGCCTGAAATGCTAATTTCTGCATGTCGACTAATGAAACAACTGAGTCAGCTAAGCTGCAGTCCCGTTAGTAATAATTTGTACTTGAACAAACGTTTGTATTAGGTTAATGCCTATTCCTTTCAACTGATTAAAATACCTAGGTTTACATAAAACCTTAAACCGTCTTGATGCACAAATTAGATCGAATAACTAAACAGGAAATCGATAAATGTACTTACTTTTAGTTGTCCACACACAAGGATAACAACTGCGTTTTCACTTGGATGAACATCTACACTGGTGGTAACCACCTGAATTGTATTTGCAGGGAGAGACTGGTCAAGAATTAGACAAGTTTCAGGATACTTACTCGAAATTTCTCAGCAATTTTTTCTTTACCGACGATTTCCTGGCCCTCGTACGTCATCCTGGCTTGGTCCTTGAGAAAATGCAAATCTAGTCAATTAACATACGTGGTAGAATAAACTGAGTGAATTCCGGTCAAGTTGGAAGACATTGTAATACTGAGAAACGAAACTGACACCTATTTCGCGATAATTTTCAGGTACAGCGTGTAGTTAAACATGGTTCGCAGTACCGCCAACTGAAGTATCAACCGCCGTCTTCCAGGAAACAACTTCAAACCTCAAGCTGCAAATGGTTCAAATAGTTGTTAACGGGACAGACGAAGCTTTCGCTTAACTGGCTTGCTAGTCTACAATCCGTGGATCACTACTCCTTTTGCTTGTTAACCTGTGTACAAGTGAAGAAAGAGGAAAACATGGCGGTTAAAATGTGAAAATTTAGTTAGTTCTGGGCAGATCCCAGACACATATCAAATGGGTATCCAGTCGGGGTTTAAAGAATTCAGCTGAAGTAGCCTGGATGACATTTGCAGGAAGAGCGTCCTAGGGTTTAACAACTCTTAGGGAATAGAAGTTGTGTCTAACCTGATATGTTCCAGACTTAGTTTCTGTGTGTCCTATAAGATTAGTTCTACAGCTAAGATTTAATAAGTGACACAGTGGGTGGTTAGGTGTGCTCAGAATGTTGTGAGCCATCATCCAGTCTCCTCTTAGCCTCCTGTATTCTAGAGGATACACATTCAGTGCAGCCAGTCATTCTCCGTTGGTTTTCGATCTAAGTCCTCGAACAGATTTTGTCAAACGCCTCTGGATGTGTTCTTAGCTTAGTTTGTGCTTCTAGAGATAAGGGGGAAAGACGTTGGTTCCAAACACCAGGTGAGGCCGTACGAAGCTGCTGAAAACTTAGTGGAAGCATCTAAGACCAAATGGTTCGAAAATTCGTCAAAGAGTTAGTGACGCCGAGTTTCCACGAAACGCGTTTCTGTCACTGTTGGTGAAGGGTTTTAAGTCTTCAGGGATTAAGACGCCTAAATCCTTCTTTATAAATGACGCTTTAAGTTGCATGCCGTTGAGGCTATATTAATGAGATGCGTCGTGTTTTACGCATATCACCTCGCATTTCTCAGAATTAAATGTCAGCCAGTTGTTGACTGCCCCGTTGTGAAGTTAAGTCCTCCTGTAGAGAAACACTGTCTTCTTCACTTCTGATTCCTCTCCAGAGTTTCATGTCATCGGTAAAAAGATGACTTCGAGCTGTAGAATTGGTGAACGATGGTTCCTTGGGCACTACCTCTGTCTTGTTGGAGTACGTTCTACGTTTAGGATAGTCACAATTGTCTCCCTGGTTCCGAAAAGGCTGTAAGGATAGAGATAATCGATCATTAATTAATCTGGTCTCAAGTTTACCATTACTGCTTGTAATCTGCAGATGATGGAAAGCCTCTCATTTCAGCTCACTGGGTCTACGTGTTTACCTAACCTCATTCTAGAAGTACCAGGGGATTGGGCTATAACAACTGCCGAGAGGATTTCCACAGCTTACAAACTCTAACTGCAAGGGAGCTAGCATGGATCTTTGTACGTGCCGTCTTATGCTCCACTCCTAATAGGCAATCCTTAAGGTGGCTTTTCCGATTACAGCTTACGAGGATTGTGAGATATGTGGTACATTATGGTCACATCTCTGATACTCCGGTATTGTACTGGATGCGGCTTAGGAGCAACTAAGTGGTCTAGGCAAGGTTTGTGCCGCAGCACAACCACCTTCTTCTCAGCTTTTCTCTGAATCCATTCTAGGATGGCTATGTTCTTCTTCAAGTATGGAGACATCATAGGCAAATTTTTCTCAAGATACGGGCAAATATACAGTCCATACACTGTGGTGAAAATAAGAGTTTAAATGAATTGAGTTTGCAAAAGAAACCCAAGACTCTGTAGGCCTTGTTGGCTGCAAGGCGACGGTGGACCCAAGTTCTTGTTGTGCCAGAAATGTAACTTCCAGATCTTGTTCCGTGTTAGAGCGACAGATATTTATCGCATCCAGAGAGTTAGGACTGTGCCTGCTTTTGTATTCGTCAACTACCATCATACCACACTTCTTCTTCTACTTAAGAAGGAGCAGGCTTGCTGTGGTCCAATTTGGGATCTTGCTGAGGTTCTCCTGGAGGACCGGAATATCCGTTGGCACTTGTATTCCCCCCCCAACTCTTCGGATCATCGGCATATAATGGTGAACAGGAAGTGAGGGATCCTGGTAGGTCATTGACGAAAGCAAGAAACAGTAGTGGACTCAGAATAGAACCTTAAGGCTGGCCGCTCAGCGTCTGGGACCAAGTAGATAAAAGAAAGCCAACTCTGAAAAGTCAAGCAAATCAGTGTGAGTGGGTTTTTTCCGCCCAACTGGCAGATTCCAGCTACTCTAAGCTATCAACAAGCTAGTGTCACATGATACTTCAGGTAAAAAACCATGCTGACGGTAGTTCAAGATTGGTTCTTCAAGTAGGTAATCGTGAAACGAGTCATTTATTATTCTTTCCATGACCACCGCAACTGAAGGGTTCGGGGGATTGGTCTATAGCCAGGGGCGAATAGTCTGTTTCCACCGTAATATATTGGGACGACGGACACTCGTTTCCGGTCGGAGAGTAACTTGCCTTCCAGAGACGAACATCCGAAGAGGTTTACCAGCGGAGCACTCAAAACATCCGCACACTGAGAACCCTTGGGTGAGCCCCATCAGTTCCTGGAGACTTACCTGGGCTCAAGCCTTTTAAAATTCTCATGATTATAGGAAGTTCAGACTCTGCGTGATTTAAACCCTCTGTAATACGGATGTCCAACGAATGCGTGGTTACCCCTCCAAACTGAGAGGAGTCGTTTTGGAGTTCTTGAGCTAGTAAGTTTACCACCTTGGAATTAGTTTAGAGAATCTCTGATCTACTGGGGTCCTGTTTACTATGTGAGCTGTTACCCTTCTGTTTCATCAGTGAGTACAACATCCGATGAGTCCCCTTTACAGTTCTACACAGTCGTGTCTGGCATTTTGCCCTGCCATTTCTGATTCTTAACGTACATCTGTTACGGATGCCCTTGTAATTTAGCTAGTCAACAGAGCTATTAGCGACCCTCCATTGATTGCAGGATGACCGTTTATGCCGTATAAGTTTGCGCGTGAAAGTATTAGGTTGCATGAACTTAGAAAATGGAAACGACGTATTCTGATATTCCTAAAAACTCTTTTTCGGCCGATAAGTTGTTACTTCATGCACAAAGGACACAGCTACCACTTCGATGATGGGCCTTTCTGTTGGTTGAGTAGCTACTGAAAGTCTAACCAACAAACCATTTGGCGGTTGTACGCTATTTCCTAAGCTATAAGTTTAAATCGCAGATGACGTTCGACTTTTCCCATTTCCAGCGAAGAAAATTCAACACCCCGTGCACCCATAAGATCTGTTCTTTCCTGGTTTGGCAATGCACTACCCTGTTTATTGTCCGTTGCGCTACACTTCGGTGCATCTTAATGTGACCCACGTCCTGAATGTGTACGGCTGTGAAAGCATTCACTGCATGCGGAACTAAGCTTCTACGAAGCGAACTGTAATAAAATTATGTAACAGGAGAATTTTAAATATATTTTGCTTTATCCTTGCATCTTTGGATACTTACGAAGAGTTTTTGCAGTCACTTTTCACCTTTCGTCTCCCAGTGATCTAGGCAGAATGAATTTCATCGACAGAAGCTTTTTATTTCACTTGAAGACCCATGTGTGGTAGTTCGGGTAAATAAACCGGATGTTATTGTGGAGAATGTCTTTTTGATTCAGACTTTTCGACTCAAATAATCTCATGGCTTCCATTACTTCCAGAGCCCCCATTTCGTTAGTCTATCTTGCGACGTGAAGTTATATCATGTAGGTCCGTAGCCTGTCTTTTCACGCTTTTCCGGCCCCACCAGGTTTAAGGGGGCAACTTTATGTATCGCCTGTCACTCTTTTAAATTTATTTTCCATCCCATGGCAGCGTGGCCACCACCAGTCAAACCGAAAGCATGACATGCGAACAAACAAACCACCAGCTTTTGCTCTCTCCAGACCTTTCGACCTGCATGTACTGATTACTTCACGAGCAGAATCGCAAAAAATGCCAGAGCTTGGTGTCACCCGACCTTGTGATAGCATATGGCTTTCAACACCCCATATGATCCCAAAGTGGTCTTCTTCTGACGTTCGCCAATGTGGCTGTTGTCGACTTCCAAACAAGCAAATCATTCCTGACCGATACCCATCACCTAATACCGATGACTTTGCTGGCAATCTGACTCGCATCACCGCTTCCCCGAAGAGAGATATCATCGAAGCTTACTATCATATTCTTGTCAATCCCAACGACGCCACGAAGGTATTCGTTACCACTACTTTTGGTCACTGTGACTTCGTTTGGATGCCTTTTGGACTTATGAATGCCTTTCAGATAGTCCAGCGTTTCACAAACTAGGTCCCCCATGGGCCCCTTTTCGTATATGCTTGTATCCGTGACCTACTCATCTCCGATTCACAGGAGACTCAACGTGTGAGTCAACCAAAAGCTATCCTCGAACGGCCCGGGCAATATGCGATGGTGATTAATCTTAATGAGTATGAATTTGGAAAAACCTCTAAGGATATCTTGTTGATAAACAAAGTGTAAAACCATTTCCTGACTAATTGCAAACTGTAAACGACTGGACGCTCCTGGGCGGATTTCAGAAACTGTTGCTTCCTAGGGCTAGTTGATTTTTACTGCCGCTCCCTTCTAGAGTGTGTGGATACTCTGCGGTCGTTAACTGACTATAATGTTCGAACGTTCCCACCGTCCTCATCTACTTTTTGGGACTATTCACTCCTTCATAAGAGCCAGCCAGTCTCCCAAAGAAAAGAAAATTCCCTCCGGAGGAGATGCACAGACTTCATTGCCACTCATAAGAGACGCCCTCAATATCGCTGTTGGGGCAGTTTTACGTGACCCGTAACTAGCCGCTAGTTCTGCTTGACTCAGGTTTTAAAGATGTCATAGCACCAAAT